ATATATAATTTTTAGTTAACAAAATAATATATTTTTATTTAGTTTTAAATAATTTTTCTTTTTTGAACAGCCAGCATGATATCCAATAAATGGAAAAGCTATTAAGAACCTAAAATGAAAAACAGTTTAAACATTCTCTAGCTTGGTTAATTATTACAATATCTAAGCCATGTAGGGTAACATAAAGTCGTAAACAATCACCTCTACTGGCTTGATTTTTTAAGGGGTTGACTAAAAAGACACCCCTTTTTACCATTTAGACAATCCTAATTAATTTTGAAGTATTTTTATTGGTTGAAATTGCATTGTTTTCCGAAAAAACTGATTACAAGTATTTTATTATAGGTTGACTTTTTATAAAAAATGATTAGAGGGTGTCTAAGGGGTGTCTTATTAGCAGCAACCTTTTTTAATCCACTTGACTCTGGTTTAATATCAAGATTTCAATAACACCACCTAAACCAACATAAACTATCACTTCAAATTCAATGGTTTTAATTATACATACCAAACAACAGTTTTGAACGACTCGTTTTATGCTTTCGATCCAACCAAATTAAATTGACACTGATGCTTCATTCTACACTGATGCTTCATTCTAATACCTCATTTATTTGATTACGTTGTTCATTTTATTTTTCGTGATTTCATTCCATCGTGTCAGATTCTAAAGTTTATGTTTTGACCTGTCTTTATGGTTTATGGGATTGAGACATGGATTGATGGCAAGAAAACTAGAAAATTACAGGATAGAATAAGTTGTAAGGTGTGAGATTAATGTTAAAAGTAGTAAAGGTAGAACATGTTGTACTTTGCTTGGGTTCATATGTTTATATTTTTTGTATCTATGATGCAGCATATGGTGAAAAGCGAATGGAGAGGCCAATGGCGGAGTCAATTATCAGAACTTCGAAGAAGAAGCATGCACAAAGAATCTGGTAAAAACTCATCATGGGCATCCCGTATGCGCAAGCAAAGGGAAGAATCTTCATCATAATTATAAAAAAAATCATCAAGATTTTGTGTAAATTTACACCCTACTAATTCGAAACTTATATAGGAAAGACGGTTTTGTATATAGTAAAAATTATGTACAATCAATAAGAACCCTATATACTCTTTTACATGACAATAATTTTCTTTTCTTTTTCATGCTATTCTCTCACCTTTACTTCCTTTCATGGTTGTTGGTGGTCGGTTTTCTAATACGTGGTGGTGGTGGTCACGGTGGTGGGGCATTTATGTCACCATCTTCCTAGCAAAGATAATATAATTTTGTTGAGTTATTGATATAATAAGTGATCAATTGATGCCTTGATGGTGGGGTTGTTGGCTTGTTGCGATGTAAATTTTGCGGTTAGTAGGATGGTATGATTTCGATGTGTGGGCCCTTTTATAGCTGTAAGCCTGTAACCATAGAAATGTGTTTTAACAAGAAAGCGAAATTTAAAGATTTCTATTTGTAATAAATTGCATTAAAATTCAGTGGCGGAGAATTGTTATTTTTGTTAGCTTTATATATCCAGAGTGCAAAAGAGTTGCTCATATTATTAGAATAAAAAATTTGTTTTAAAGTTTATAGTAAGACAAAGTTTATATCCAGAGTGCAAAAAAAATTTCTTTGGACTACGGGAATATAGTAAGACAAAATTAGCGAGACATTAGAAAAAAAAAAAAAAAAAAAAGGAAAACTGGATGTTGGTTTATATTAGGAATATAGAGGCTGATTAGATTGGATGTTGATTTAAGTTTGAATTAGAACTTTTATAAATGTATCATCCGGAGAGTAGTTATTGACAATTGGTCAGGTTGGACGGGGTTTGGATTAGACGGGAGGGTGTATTTTCATTCCACCATGAGCCACCATAGTTTTCCGTTCAATTACATTTTACTCGCACCACAGAAAATGATCTCGTTTTACTTTTATTATTTTAAACATAAAAATAACTTAGTTTTAAAGTTTATAATTCAAAAAATAAAAAGAATTAATTAAAGTTATTTAATAAACACAAAAATTAATTAAAATAAAAATATTTCATTACTTAAAAATAAAAATTACAAAATAAAACCTAAAAAACATAAATAAAAATCATAAACCATGATTAAAAAATTATCTCACTCCGAATCTTGGTCCTCGTCGTCTGAATCCTCTCTGAGTTCTTGACGTAATTTTCTCATTAGACCATAAACCATGATGTTCATTATGATATTACCCTTATGAGTTTCAAGGTAATGTTCATTATTTTGTGTTATTGATATAAGCGTAATATCGTAATTTTTATCTTTTTGTTTTGTTCCGTTGTATTTTTACCAAACGGTGCACATATAATTTGTTATGTTCTGTCTAGTCCAGTTCTTTTCTGTTCTATCAAGTCCAGTCCACTCTTGTTCATCTGCTAAGCACTACCTTAAGGATTATCCAAGGTCGAATTTCTCGTAACCTAGGAATAGGGTAGAATATCGATTCAGAAAGTGAACCAACACGATCCTTGAAGAATCCAATGATCATTATTTTTTCTACCCTATATTTCTAACAATCAAATCGATATTTTTTGGTGGTGATCATGGAGGATTATGTGAAAGACATGACTTCGAAATTCAACAAACTTAAAAAGTTTAGAGGGAATGATTTTAGACATCGACATAAAAAGATGCATTTTCTGTTGACAACATTGAAAGTGGTGTACGTGTTGAGTACTCCAATGCCTGAAGAAATGGCAAGATAAGATGTTGGAACAGACTCGAAAGTACAATAAGTGGGAGAACGATGATTATATATACAGAGGACACATTCTGAACGGTATGTCTGATTCCTAGTTCGATATCTACCAAAGTGTTGAAAGTGTGAAGGCATTATGGAATTCCCTTGAATCAAAATATATCGTTGAATATGCTTCTAGTAAGAAGTTCTCAGTGAGTAATTTCAATAATTATAAGATGGTTGATTCAAGGCCATCAATGGAACAATATAATGAAATCGTTCGTATCTTGGGGTAATTCACTTTACACAAGATGAATATGGATGAATTCGTTGTTGTCTCAAGTGTGATTGAAAAAATTCCCTCGTGATGGAAGGATTTCAAACACACTTTAAAATATCAAAATGATGAATTGTCTGTGGTTCAATTGGGTAGTCACTTGCGCGTAGAAGAATCTCTTTGGGTGCAAGAGAATACCAAAAATAAGGGAAAGGTTGAATGTGGATATCCCTCTATGGTTGAAGACGAGAAAACAAACTCCAATAACAAAGCAAAATGCAAGAAACGCAAGTTTGATGGACCCGGTAGATCCAACAACAAAAAATCCACTAAATTGGTGTGTTAGATATGTCATCGAGTGGGTCATAGTAAGCGTGATTTTTGTATGAAACTAGCTGATGGTGCTGGTGGAAGTAGAAGTGGAAATGAAAGTGGTAATGTTAAACAAGGGTCAAAAGACGAAAACCTACCAAAAGGATGTCGAATTTTGACTAACCTTGATAAATTTGTTAAGAATTATGTTACACATTATGTTTCTCTCATTCCTGAATGTTATTATGTACAGGATGATGATTGTGCATGGTGGATCAACTCGGGACTCGGGTGCAACAACTAGTGTTTGCATGAATCAACGTTGGTTTGAGAAATTGACACCAGTGGCAGATAGTTCTGTGTTACATTTGGGAAACGAGTCAAGTGCACCAATCTATGGGATTGGAGTTGTTACTTTAGAATTTACTTCGAGAAAGTTTGTTAAACTATATGATGTAATATTAGTACCTAACATGCATAAGAATCTTGTTAGCGGTACTTCTCTTAATTGCCTAGGATATAAACAAATTTATGAATCATATAGATATATTCTATCTCGAGGTGGTGTGTTTATCAGATTTGGATATCTATGTAATCGTATGTTTCATTTGAATGTAGTTAATAAAGTAAGTGTTGTTAATTGTACATTTATGCCATCTTCTAAAATTGATGACTCTATGCCTTGGCATAATAGATTGGGTCATGTCCACTTTAGAAGAATGTATGAAATGTCAAAAGATGGATTAATTCCATGTTTTGATATTAACACTGAAAAGTGTAAAACCTATATGCTTACTAAAGTAGCAAAAACATAATTTCCAAATGTTAAAATAAATTCGAACGTTTTGGAACTAGTTCATATCGACTTGTGTGATTTCTACTCTACTCCATCGTTAGGAAATAAGAAATATGTTGTGGCATTATTGATGATTGTACTCAGTTTTGTTATGTTTATTTATTACATGCCAAAGATGAATATTTGGAGAAATCTAAAATATACAAAACTGATGTGAGTTACAATTAAGTGTTTCAATAAAATGCCTAAGAACTGATCGGGGAAGAGAGTATATGGATCCCATATATTTTCAATTAGTTGGAATCATTCATGAAACAACAACACCTTACACTCAACAACATAATGGAATAGCATAATGCAAAAACCAAATTCTAAAAGAAATGGTAAACTCTATGCTCTCTTACTCGGGTTTGAGTGGGGGATTTTGGGGAGAGACTATGTTAACAGCCAACTACGTTTTGAATAGAGTTCCAAATAAAAGAAAAAAATGGCCCCTATGAACTTTGGCTCAAGAAAACTCCAAATATTAGGTATTTTCGAATTTAGGGTTGTAAAGTTGTTGTCAAGTTAACTTAACCTAAAAGAAAGAATTTGGGTGAATGTGGAATTGATTACATCTTTATTAGATATGTTGAGCTTCCAAGGCTATTAGGTTTTTTGTAATGGAGCCTAATTATTTTGTGTCGGTTCACATAGCGATTGGATCGCATGATAAGATTTTTGATGAAATGAGATTTTCATCTATGGTTAGGCCTACGGATTTGATTCCTAGCACTAGTGAAGTGAAAAATTCAGAAAAATTGGATGATGTTGTTGAATTGGAAAAACAAAAGACCCGAAGAAGCAAAAGAGGCCGAATTGCCAAAGATTTTGGTTCTGAATTTCAAGTTTATTTAGTGGAAGGATCAACGATGAAATTAGCTCTCAATATGTATATTGTTATAGCATAGAAGATGATCCTAAGAAATTTAAAGAGGCTATTTAGTCTCAAGATGTTGCTTTTTGGAAGGAATCAGTTAATGATGAAATATCTTCAATTATTGAGAATAACACTTGGGTGTTGTCAAATTTGCCTCCAGGTTCTAAACCACTTGGATGCAACTGGATATTCAAAAAAAAATTGAAATTTGATGAACTAATTATATTAAAGCTCGGTTATTCATTCAAGGGTTTAGGAAAAAACCCAGTATTTACTATTTTGACACTTATGCTCTAGTGGCACGTATTTCGACTATTAGACTGTTGGTTACCTTGGCAGCTATACACAATATGAGCTTTCATCAGATGGATGTGAAAACAACTATCTTGAATGGTAAACTTGATGAAGAAGTTTACATGATACAACCAGAAGGTTTTGTTATGCTAATAAACGAGCATATTGTTTGTAAACTTATGAAATCTTTGTATGGGCTGAAACAAACGCATTACCAATGGCATCAAAAGTTTAATGATGTGATTTTATCAAGTGAGTTTGTATTAAAACAATGTGATAAATTTTTATAGTTAGTTTGATGCTACTGGTTAAGGTGTCATCAATTGTTTATATGTGGATTACATGTTGATCTTTGGTACAAACCAAGATCAAGTATATGAAATAAAGAGACTGTTTTCATCTAAGATTTTCATGAAGGAAATGGGGGAGGCTAATGTAATCCTCGAAATAAGGATTAAATGAATGAACTAAAGGATTGTTATGACACAATCACATTATATTGAGAAAATTCTAAACAACTTTAACTTTGGTGATTGTTCTCCGATGAGTACCCATATGGATCCTAGTATGAAATTGATGTCGAATATCGGCAAAAGCCCATTTCACAATTGGAATACTCTATGGAAATTGGAAGCTTGATGTATGCTATGACAAGCACCGGACCTGATATTGCTTATGTCGTGGGAAGATGAGTAGATATACTAGTAATCCTAGTACTCATCATTGGCATGAAACTCAAAGAGTATTTAAGTATCTCATAGGAAATGCAACTTATGGTTTGAGTTACTTGGGATATCCTTCGATCTTGGAATGGTATTCAGATGCAAGTAGGATTTCATACATGGGGGATCATTCCTCCACAAGTGGTTGGGTATTTTTCTTAGGGGAGGAGCCATCCCTTGGGCTTCCAAGAAGAAAACTTGCATTATAAGTTCTATAATGGAATATGAATTTGTAGTGTTAGTTATTGCTAGTAAAGAAACAGAGTGGTTGAGAAATTTGATTCATGAGATTCCATTATGGCCAAAACCGATTGCACATATTTCTATCCATTGTGATAGTGTTGCCACCTTGGCTATGCCATACAGCCAAGTGTACGACATTTCTAGACACTTGGGGTGTTAGACATAACATGATTAGACAATAAGTGATGAATGGTGTGGTTTCGGTTGAATTTGTGAGAATGCAACAAAACTTGGCAGATCATTTAACAATGAGTTTGGCAAGAGACTTAGTGCACAAATATATTATTGGGATGGGTTTAAATTCCATTTAATACTGTGAGACACCCAACTCCGTTCTAATATAACATTAGATGTTGAATTCAATATGAAAATCTCACACTTGTAGATTGGAACACATAATGAATTAACCTAAGTATATGTTCGGTACTATAGTAGGTAAGGCTGAAGCTTAACTTCTTAATATTTTATTTGAAAAAGTGTATTGCATGTACATGATATAAAGGAATTACTTATATGATTGTGAAGTGTAGTCGCGCTTCAAAAGGTTGTGGAATTGGCCTTTATACAATCATGAGAGGATTAGGACACACGACTTACTAATAGTGTTTAAGTTATATAGACACGTTGAGAACTTGTATGTATTTTATCTCCAGCTATTCAAATGGGTTAAAAAGTTTAATGCTTAGGACACCCTGATACTTTAATATTTGGAATGTGTATAATACTAATATGAAAATTCAATCGTTTCAATATTTTCATTTATGTGCAAGTTTTCGTGTGTTAAATTTCTTTGTGTAAGTCCATGGTTACACTAAAATGGGGGAGGGATGTTAATGATTTTTAGTGTCACATGTTCATTTTATATATAATGGGATTTATACATGTTTCATAGGGATTATATCATAGTTTGAATACAAGCTACGAGGTGCAAAATGCACACTTGTATTAATCTTGATTGATCCTAGTACGACCAAAACAGTGGGGGTCAAGAAGGTTATGCCCCCTTGCAGGGTTCCAAGGGGCAGCGCTCCTTGGCGAATTTACTAGAGGGACCTTAATAGAAATTATCGAGTTTTCGGAGAATTCAATGTAAATTTATGTGGTTATCCAACCCTTAACTGCCTTATCTACATGAAGTTAATTTAAAATTTTGATAGATCATAACTTTCTCTCTCGTCTTTTGAAACATACGAATTTCACACACCATATTCTCTGTCTCTTTTTGATCAATATTCTGCACCAAGAATCTTGATTATTCCTTTAAGAATTATCCAACGCCGCATTTCTTGTAACTCGTGCATAGGGGAGAAATATCGATTCATGAAGAATCCAGTGATAAATCTTTTTTCTACCATATATTTCTAACACACACACAC